TCCAGTGACGAGGAGGAGAGTCCTTTAGAGCCTGCAGCTCTCCAGTCACATTGTTCTGGTCTTCATCCCCATCTGGGAGGAAAAGCAAACTGTCAGCTGAGAAAGATATCAGGACCTAACAAGGTATACTGTAGCACAAACTGATGGTATCAATTCCAGCTGTTTCTTACCGACTCATTGAACCTAAACATGACAAACCTGAGCAGAAACACTGTTTATTGAGAAATGGAAGGTGGTAGATGGGACAGACATCCATTCATACATTAGTGTGTTGATTCTGTGCGGCATACACAGATCCACACATGAATCCACCTCTTATTTATGGATTTCAGAGACTGATGGAGCATTTTCAGGTCCGCATGTCCTTGCAGACATTTCATATGTTGTCATGGGGGATCTGTTTAGACAGCAGAAATACCTGACTTGGCAACCGTCAGCACAACAAGATTGCTATGAATCAAGAGATTTGGGGCTGCTATTTATCAGCAATCCTCAACCAGATGTTTCAGTGGATGAACTGGTGTCATTCAAAGGTCGCAGCGTGTGCCATGTAAACCTGGGAAAAACAGGATTAACATGTGATGCCAGGACCATCTACACCTGCAACACACAGGTGTATAAACGCAAATCTGCTGGTGGAGCTCCAGAAAAGAGCCAGAACAAACGTGGTCCTGGTTCAGGACTTTGCAAGTGATTTTTTTTTTTCTTTTTATGTGCGCTGTGCACCAAGAAAAATCAAGCATCATATGTCAATGTTAAAATGTTGTGTTACAATATTTGCAAGGCACACGCAAAACCAATCTTTTTTTTGTCTATGTGCTACTGTTTAATTTTGACCATATGTCAAATGAATTTACAGGAATACCACAGTTGTTACTTTGCACCACTGAGGGGTTTCAAACAAACTATCCTATTTACGCTTTGACACTAGTCTAGTCAGTGATAAATAGCACAACATACTGTATTTCCGCTCCTATTTAATTTAGCCAAAAAAGCCCATAAATAACAATTATTTGACTAAAACACAATGTTCAGCTCAATGAGGCCTAAAAAAAAAAACAGCAGGTTCCAAAGAGAAGTGAAAAATGTATTAGAAACACAATTATAAAAACAACACAAAAACATTCAGTGGTAATTATGTATTATGACAAATGTAACAGTGATAAAGGATTGGTCGATTTTGAAAAGTAACACAAGCAAGTGTGAGCCTGAAAGGAATACAAACTGGGACATGGATGGATGAAAAAGTGGAAAAATGAATTACTGGCTGCTTAAAGACAATACAAAGTTCTGATACTGTGAATAAATCTTCGCAGTCAAACTTGACTTTGTAGATTTACACCAGCATGCATCCAAACATGAGCACTTATAATCCTGAACTACTGTTGGTAAACTAATAACATGCATATCCCTGTGTTCTGCAGCCCGGCCATGACAAAACACTGGGAGGCTGAGCTGGAGGCACTAAAGGGGAACAATGCCAAGCTAACGGCGGCTCTGCTGGAGTCCACAGCCAACGTCAAACAGTGGAAACAGCAACTGGCTGCCTACCAGGAAGAGGCAGAGAGACTACACAAACGGGTGAGTGAGAGGGCACAGGAATGCTTGTTTGTTTTCATGTGTGATTAAATCATTTAAATCAAATTGGAACCATCACTTGGAGGGGATGCTGTGAAGTCAGGATGACAGGAACGAAACAAAGGGGAGATGAGTGTGAGCATGAGGGAGAATAAAGAAAAGGGAGTCTGGGAATGAGACCGAGATCAGGCCTCCATTGTGCCAAACTCTCTATTCGTGGATCTGAATCGTGATGATCCCATCTTGTCCTTGCAGGTGACGGAGCTGGAGTGCCAGAGCAACCAAACCCCGGTGATCAAATCCCAGAAGACTGAACTGAACCAAACCATAGAGGAACTGGAGAATACGCTAAGAGATAAAGAAGAGGTGTGTTTTCTGTGTGTGCGTGCAGCTTGTCTTGAGAAGTCATGACATTTATGCTACACAGGTTTTTTAATCTTGTTTTATGCTTTCCAGGAAATGGAAAAGTTGAAAGAAGAGTTAGAAACCATGAATGACCTGATGGAGCAGAAAGACACTCTAACCCAGAAACTGGAGGTGAGTGAAAGAAAGTGAAACTCTTCCCTGTCTTATGTATCCCCGTAGAGAAAAGCCACCGGCTGCAATACAACATTAATACAACAGCGACTTTGTCTCTCTTCCTGCAGGAGACGGAGCTTCGCAGTCGGGTGCTGGAGGAGCAGCTGTCTGGTGCCGAGCAGCGGCTGGAGGAGAACCAGGAGGAGCAGGAGAATTTTAGGAAGAGCCTGCGGACGCTGCTGGAGCTGCTGGATGGCAAGATCTTTGAGCTGACGGAGCTCAGAGACACCTTGGCTCGGCTCATAGAGGAGGCCAGCTAGAGACGGAGATGCCAAATTCTCACAGACAGAGCCATATGATAATTTACACTCTGACGCCCCCCCTGACTTCACCCACACCAACCCTGCCCACCTCCTTCTTCAAACTCCCCACACACATTGAAAGTGAGACACAGCACTGCCCAACGTTCACATTTTGCTCAAAAAGGGCAGCTGACTCCCCAGTTTTTACCCTGCAGGCATCAAGTTCCTACCGACCGCAGACACTCCTGCAGTTCAAGACGACGCAGGGACTACCTCAGCTTGCCATCTGATTGGCTGGTGTAGGCATCACCTCGGTTGAACTGGTTGCTCCAGTTGTAGAGACGCCTGCTGTGGCACACTGCAACTCCCCCCCCTCCAACGCACCCACCCACACATACACCCACACACACTCTCACAAAGAGTTAACTTGAGAACTGTGCCTCAGTGCCACCTACTGTTTGACTTGGAGAGCTGCACCACAGCTCGCAGCATCGCAGCGTCACTCAAACACACACACACACACACACCCTTTTCCTCCTCTCTAAACTGCCCCCCCAAGGGGAATGTTGAAAGTCATGTGGAAATAATTGCTGTTAAGACTCAGAGAACTGCGCCAAAGCTGCCAAATCCCCCGAAAATATTGTCCTCTAACTAGCAGATGCTTTGATCCAAAGTGACTTACTGTACAGAGAAGAGCTGAACAGACAAACCCACGTTTGAGCTCGGGCTGCCAGAGGAGCGTCGCCGGGAATTAAAGGACGGCTCTCAGTAAACCGGTCGGTCTTACCTGTTGGCCTGGATGAACACACAGGGCTGCTGGGAAATGGAGCTTAGTGAAAATAAAAGACTTATGTATATCCACAGCCGATTTAAAATCCTATATGATAGATGACTATTGAATCTTCCAGAGGCGTTGTTCATGCCACACAGAAATTTTAGACAACACGCTCCCAACGCTACATTCGACATGAGAATTCTTGCATCCAGACTGCTTCCACCATCACAGACGTCTGACCTGTCTTCCTGCCAAAACTCAGTGTGGTGTGTGTTCCTGAACGAGGCCTGACGTAACGTGTGCCTTTCGAAGCACACAAAAGTGGACACATGTTTGTATATAAAATGTGTGTGTGTGTGCGTTTTGTGCTGTGAGAGAAAGACCCTGCTTTTGGACAACAAGGCCTACACACACACGCACATGCGTAAACACACACACACACACACTGAGCAATACCAGACAGGCCCTATACGACACCTCTATCCAACTCTATCAGGTACTCTACTCAGTGGACTCATGCAGATAGGTCAAATGCAACTAAGCTGATCCCCCCGAACCCCACCGTCCAACAGAAAGTGTACTACTGTTGACCGCAAAACTGTGTGGCAGCCCTGTCTGGTCGAAGTAGTGCATCGTGAAGGGCTTATAGAGTGTCATCTCCGTGTTCGTAAAAATCCACACCCTCAGTGAAACTGGCCACAGATTTTTCACTCGTCGCAGGTGAATACAGAACTGTACTCAGTTTCTATTCTTTTTTACACAGGATATAATACTGACGATACAATTATAGAACTGTATAAGACAACTTTCTACTCATGACAGCATTGTAAATGAATGGATGAATAACTCAAATGCAGTAACACCCTGCAGTGGCTTATTGTTGTGTATTAACCCACGAGTATCTAGTCTGTAGGTAAACAATGAAAACCTCCTCTGTATATTGAAAATGCGTAACAACACAATGTAAACACACAGTGTTACACATTCTGTACCAAAACTTAACACTTACTGTATAGAGCAGATCTTATGCTGGTAAAAATCTTACATTTTAAGCCAATTTCTAAAAAGCTCTATCTTCACGAGGTGCTACGTATCTTATATTTCAATTGAGCACCCTGTTTGCACTGTGTTATTACACTGTTGTAACCCCATTATATGTCAAGAGATTTGCATTTAGTATTAGCACAGTATAATAGAATTACTTTCTGTAGTTAGTTACACAGGTTAATACACTGGAATAAGACCCATGTAAAGGGAAATGTTACCTATTTTTTTTTTCTTTCTGGTTTAACTTTGACGGTCGAGTGACAGAGATGGAAAACCTTAATATTAATGCTATTGTTAATGAATGCCTTTGTACAGTAGTGGATAAGAAGCTTTTCATTCTCCTGTTTTGTAACTTATGGTATTTAAATGTAGGTATTATTATTGTATTTAGAGGTATGAGAAGACTGGCAATATTTTTGACTATTTAAAGTAATTTTGAACTCATGATATTAAAGAGGTACCTCAGGCTAATGATGTTCGTAGATTGGTGAGACTTGTGTGTTTGCAGGTGAAAGGATTTACCAAAATGCTGGTGAAAAACGATCAGGAGACACACCTGTTGGTGCTTCAGCCAAACTAAATCCTTTGTTGAATTCAAAGACAGCCCCACCAGGCTGAGAACACACCTCTGTGAACTGAGAAAATGCTATGTTTTATATTCAAATACAGTGACCGCAGAATTCAGTGTGTGCAAATCGCTTTTGTTCTGTTGTTGTTGTTTTTGTTTTGTTTTCTAAACACGCACTATTAGCTAAATTAATCAGCAGACAATCTCAGCATTTGCTTCACAAGGTTTTATTCAAATGCAAGGGCAAGGTTGTAAATAATAAAAAAAAACAAAAAAAAACAAGTTGAATAAATGAAAATGGTAGGACAAAAGGCAAAAAGGTATTCTTGGAACAGTTTGTCAATACACTACGGTGTAAAAACTGCAATGTTTAGTTAGTCCATTGTTTTAGGCAATCAGTCTGAATTCATTATCACCCCTGAAGCTGATTCATCCCTTTTTTTTTGTATTTCTCTATTTTGATATTGCACTTTTAAAGTGACTGACTGGTATCCAGAGAGAGGGTCATATAGTCAGCCTGTGTGGATAACAGGTCGGGTTAGAGGACATGTTCAGAAGCATCACAAAACGATTTGGCTGGAAATGCTTTGGAGAATAAAACAGGACACAAACAAAGCAATGCAAAAATTACAGTTCGCTGACAAACAAGCTGTGTTAAGGTTTATTTATAGTTCAAGGTAAGTGCAAAACACATGACAGTCGGTCAGGTCAGTCAGGTGAGAGATAGTTGGCTCAAAGGCGTCACCTCCTGAGCCCGCTTTTCCAAATGCTTTGAGCGTACTGGCCGTTTTTTTGGAGGAGCAACATAAAACCTTAGCACTATCGTCTTCTGGTCAGTTATAGTGGCATTAAGTCATGTGAGTTCTGGAGTAAGATTTAAGTTAAGGGTCGGGTCAGGGTTAGATCTGTCTCATGCTACGTACGTGATGAGGGTACCATGGAAGAACATTGTGCTGACAGTTGTAGAAGACATGTACCAGTGCTTCAGGTTTGCTCTGCCAGGAAAACAATAAACCCTCTTAAGCACTGAGTTATTTTCAAGTTGTGACATATACATCTGTGCCTTTTCTTTCTGCATTAGTGTCTCCCTCGTGGTTAATCTGTGAATGGCTCTCAATGCGATCACGAGAGAAAAGCTCAAATCTTTGCATCAAAAGCTGTTTAAGACAGTGCATGCTGAAGCTCTCCTTTAGAACTTCGTTTATGAATCCACATCTTTTCGCTTCATGTTACGTGAGTGTGAATTCCTGCTCAGCTCCTCTCATCACTTAGGTCCAATTCCACAAGTTATTCAGTGCTCTTAAACTTACTCATCTACTACAGATAAACTGTATGCTTCGTCAGTGATTAAACAACAAAACTGTTACTGTACAGATAAAGTGATTCAGAATTTGTATCATGAAAGTGCTGAAACCATCTCTGAAAAAAAAAAAACATGTTAAACGAGGCTGTGAGAGGTCTCACTTTGCCTGTAAAATGTCTCTGCACATGATGGCTGTGAATTTAGTGTGCGAGCCCATGTGTGCATGTTTTCACTTCCAGCACTGTGAGTAACAGACCTCCTACTGTGTGCTTCTGCCCACCGAGTGCAGAGAAAGAAATTAGAAAAGATGCAGTGGAGAAAGTGAAAAAGATGGCAGAAGAAACCACATCAATCACGACCGCCGGCTCCACGGCCCACATTGACTCCCCACAGCGCTGAGAGAATCTAACCTCCCACAAACCATCCATCATTCAAACAAGCGTGACCGGTTTCGCGGCTCTGCCGTGACCATCCCACATACAAAGTTCGGGAATCACCAACCAGATCTTCCCACACTTCACAAAGTATACTGACACTAACCATGACCTCCACCTCGCTAAAGAAACCGCCGATGACCCCTCGCCTAATCCTCTCCTACTCTAGGTGACCAGCTTCAGATTAGAGATGTTGTTGGATGTGGCAAATAATCATAAACCTACTGTACCCTCTATATCTCCCACCAGCCAGGCCATATGCTGTGGTCGAACAGATGGGCCAATACATATTCCCTCGCCCTGAGAGAGGGTGAGAGTTGGGCCAGAAGAGGACAAGAGCGGGGGAAGGGCAGAAAGCTGGTGTCACAGACTAACGGATTTAAAGTATTTGTGCAGTGTCTGATTAGACAAGCAGTGGTCCATATACTTTCTGACACTACCACACCCACAGGAGACAAGACAAAACCAGACGGGCAACGTAGTGAGGCTCAGGCAGAGCACGCTGGTTGATAGGAAAAAAAGCAGAGAGGTGATGTCTGGTGGTGGGATGTTTTACAATCTGGACGGTAACTTCAGTGATCCCTGTTGGAATCGTTGTGCCATCTTCAGTTGGTTTTTCAATCTTCCACATGACCCCAAATTAACAACCATACATTTTGTGTAACGCTCTGAGGTGAGTGGAAAGATCACACAGCTCTGAGAACTTCTTACAGTTTTCAATTCCACAAACAAGTGGCTGTTATGTGCAGAGCTTTACGACAGTACAAGTGATAATAAAAAAAAAACAAACATGGCATCAGTATAGTCTGATTACAGGAATGAAACCACAGTGACAGACAGTAGAAATAAAAAAAAAACAAAAACACTAGTAATATCCTTCATGATGGAAAATGTGGTGTGAAAAACAAATGAACAGATTGACCATAGACCTTTGGAGCATTTGGTGATAATCAGTATGACTCTGGCCTTGGCATAGTCACTCGGTACATGTGTGACTGGGCTGTGCGTGCTTGAATGAGTGAGTAACTGCATGTGTTGGAGTGTGTTTATAGTACAGCGCAGCACTCTGCAGTACAGTACAGTGTGTGCAGTGCCAGAGACTTCAGTCATCTGTGTGTGTTGTTTATTGAGCCTTGGACCCTAGCTTTCCCAGTCAGGGCAGGCCATCCCGTCATCATCGGAGTCAGACTCTGGCGAGGCCTCCTTGATGCGTCGCAGCGCCTCGTGGATGCTCCTGGTCAGGGGGTCGGTGGAGGGCGGGAGCTCTCCCTGGTCTTTTCTCTCTTTACAGGGGACGCGCCTAAGTTTGACCCCCTTGCGAATCTGAGCCAGGATGCTGTTGGGGTCTTCGTCACCCTTATTAGCAGCCAGGGCGCGCTGGTCGACCTTCTTCAGGTGGAAACTGCCTCTCTTTAGGGAGGCAAGAACCTCGTCCATGGGTGAGCTCACTGTATGCAGAAGGATGAGAGAAAAACACACCGTTATTGGATTTTGTAATTAGCTAATGTAACAAGCCCTGAAAAACTATCATGGCACTTAACGGCCTCAGTACCTCGTCTGCTGTGGGAGTCGAACTCTGGAGTCTTCTTCAGCTTTTTCCGAGCGCTCACCAGTTGGCTGCTGTCAAAGAAGCGAGGGATGAATGGGCCGAGTGGAGACAGAGTGAGCTCCTCTGCTGCACTCTTCCCCTCGGCCTTCTGCCCGTGGCGGCCCGGACTCCCAGAAGGTGACAAGTCCTCCTTTGTTGGCGGCGGAGGCGGAGGGGGAGGCGGCGGACGAGGGGAGATAGGGGACGCCAGCAGCGAGGACAGGGAGCAGGGAGAGCAGGAGGAGTCTGCAGGACTGGGCACGGGCAGCGGAGGGAGTGACGCTGTGAGGGCCGTGACGGGCTGAGTGGTGAGGGTGGAGCTGGGGCTGGGGTCCGTCTGCACGCTGGTGCTCAGGCACATGGGCTGGCCCTGCGTCTGGACGCAGACAGAGTCCACGCGCTCCTCCCTCTCACTCACGCTGCTCATTTCCATGCTTCTTCCTCGCTCTCTCCTTCTGGTGTGAGCCACGCGTAGCCGAGTGGACTTCAGGATCACCTGACCTGGGTACCGCTGGAGAATCAAAGAAAGATAAATAGATCGATAAGTAAAATAAATGAATATGTTGAGATACTTCTATTTAACGGGAGGGCACGTACCTGTTTGAAAGTGCGTAGTCTGTCCAGAGTTCTCTGCCTCTCCTGACTTACTCTGCTGTTCTTCCTTTCCTCATCTTCCTCGTCTTCATTTTTGAGCTGGAAAATTTGGAGGTTTAGAAGCGAAGAGAGTTACTGACAACGTTTTACATGCATAAAGTAATATGATGATGAACACAGCTCATACCTGTAACATGTGGTGAGGTATAGAGTCCTTGTGGATGGTTTGGCGTCTCTGCTGTTTCTGGGTGTGGTTGGAAACACAGATCTCCTGGAGAATGGAGGGAGAAACATGAACAAACTGATCCACACAGAATCATGCTTTACACAAACAAAAGACTACAGCTGCTACAAAAACTTCTAGGCCAGTGTCATATAACAAAATGTACTATGTACCCTATAATATTTTGAGGCCATTTATTGCTATGTGCCTTTTTACTTTTGTTGTAAATATTGAGAGTTTTAGATGGCAGACAAACTGAAGGGGAACAGAAAGATTTCTGCTTGGATATGCTCAGTCAAACAAAGTGCAAAAAACAAACTGAAGTCTACACATTGAATTGCAACCGCTATCGATATGCAGAATGATGAAAGACAAACTTCAACAAAGAAAACAAAACAGAGTAAAGGACACACACCCTCTTGTTCCTCAGATAGGAGCGCTTGGCAGTGATGCGCCCCCTTCTTGCCTCCAGCTGTCGAGCGCTGACCTGAAGTCTGCGCAGCTCTTCTCTCTCCGCAGTATCATCCTCTGTAATATCGTCTGCACTTTCAAAGGTGTCATAGTACACCACCGCATCCTGATGCTCTGAAAGCACACATGCGTAAATATATAGCTTTGCATGGACACATCAAAACACAACTTTCATGCGCCTGACAGACACTTCATACCATTAACGCACTGCCGAATAATTCAGGCTGTCTTGCTGCAGACTCGTGTGCAGCCGACAGTTTAGACGAGTTTGTAAACGTAGTGTGAAGTAAATACCTGTCATCTGTCTACGAATGCTGTCCAGCTGAGCAGTGAGCAGCAGCTCTTCACACTGTAGTATCTCAGCCTGGATGTCATACAGCTGGAGCTGGAGCTCATAGTACTGTGTCTCCATGTGGTCTAAGAGGGCCATCGCATCCTCGCTGCTGCACAGACTCTGCATCTGAGGGGATGAATGAAAACACAACAGTCACAAAACAAACCGCGCGCGTGTTTACATGTGTGCACATTTGCCTAACGTGATGTTGAAAGCACTGCCACACCTCGTCTCTGAGCGTGTGTTTTCTCTGTTCCAGACAGATCTCCCTGGCTCTCTGGAGCTGCAGGGTTTCCTTGGCGACAGAATAGCGCAGTCTCTCCATGCGCCCCACCGCCGCCGTCCACGAAGATTTACCAAACTTACGCTGGTCCACTTTCATGCGCTCGTATACCCCTACACACACACACACACACACACAAACAAAGCACATGTTACAAGTGCCTGCGTGAAACCTCCACACAGTGAAACTCATGAGAGAGTGAGTCACAAGCACGTTCAGTTTTCTCCCCTGGTACAGTGAGTGGGCATATCTCCCACTATTCCTTTAATGTGATGACTCAAATCTCACAGGAGTAAAGGTTTCTTACAACAACACAGAGAGAGACATCTATTGGCCACTTTCGGATACTACAACTACTTTCCTTCCAGTCTTGCACTTGAAGCCACTAGCTTACTTGATTTTTGATCTGATAAGTGTCAGATAATAAATGGAGCAGTCAGTGTTGGAGGAAAAAGTTGGATAAGCAGGAGCACATTGTGGAGTAACCCTGCACAGACACAATCTACTGGCAGAGCTGTTTGATCAATAGGTTGTCCTTGTTTCCTCCTGTTCCTGTCAAAGCATGGCTGTCTGCAGTGCCTCATTAATACCAAATCACATTAGCCCTGGGATTCAAAACCACACACAGGTCAATAGCACGCCAATGCTACTACTATGTGTGCGTGTTCAGTGTTTGATTATTCAAAGTCACTCCTCTGCTGCTTTATTGACTTGACATTGGCGGTGACAGCGATGGCATATAGTACCTTTCTGGGCTCTGGCAGTGATCTCAAAGTATTTTACTGTAAACTCCTGGATGTTGAGGACGGCCTCCTGAGCTTTCTTCTGCCAGTCAGAGTCCTCCTTTTTTAGACCGTCAATGCGCCTTGGGCCCAAGTAGTCATTCTCCATGGAAATCTGATGAGAGAGGATATTGTGGTCATCAAGACTAAAAATGACACATCTCAGTGGGAGATTGAAATGATTTATTCTGTGAAAAATAAAGCGCACAAAGACACAGTTAGTAGAAAAACGGATTTTTCATGAAATTTATAAAATCGTCTTTAAAATATGTAAAACCCGGCATTTAGAACATATATTTGAAAAAAAGGATCTGCATGGTGTACAAATGGTTTTGTGAAGTGACAAAAAAAAAAAACATAAATGCAAAGAGATAACATGCTTGACTGACATAAGCTGTGACACTGTTTACGCACAAAAAAGGGTTCCTATGTACACAATACAGCTAATGTAACCTCACTGGCCACTCATAAAACTGCATACCTAGAAGATAGCACTGTGTCTCTATCATATAAAATGCAAAGTTATTGTTGGTAGTTGGAACTTCTTATATCACACGTTACTGTATTAATAGCAATAGTGATAAAAAACAGAGATAGAAATGGCTTTTTAAAACTTTGGATTTTTTAGGTGGTGGTCTACATGACAGTACAGTTTACCTGCTGCCTGCTATGAGTAACAAGATAAGTTATGAATAAACACTGTAACTCGATAGTTTCACCACAAAAGCAGGCCTGGAGAGGGAGCTACACTCCCAGAAAATGGAAGCACTGGCAATTGTCATGGAAATTCCTCCTCTCAGTCAGTTGTAGTTTGACCAGTCTGATTGCCAAATGCACATGCATACAACTGTGCAAACACTTTTTTTTCTTCAAACCACATCTATTGCAAATACTAGGGTCAGTGTGACATGGTCATCAACAAACCCAGGGGCAACAAACCCAGGAGATTTAAAAAAGTGTTTTCACCATCAAGGCCGAGTATACTGAATCAATGATGTGAAGAATCGAAACTGTCTATCGATGGTTTTTGTTCCTCTAGATAAAGAAATGGCGAAAGCTGATTATTTCAGCACATATAAATACTTAAACAGCCAATCAAAGCCTGTAGTATTCCAGCATTACCTGCTTTATCTTGTAAATACTGCACTGCAGAATCATTTGGAGTCAGTTAAGAGACACAGCTGGACAATCCTTGGAAATTAAGTAACTGATCAACATGAAGCAAGCCTGATTAAAAATCTTGGGGGGGAAAAAAAAACCCAAAAAACTCTCAAATGTCCAAGATGAAAACAAACTGCACCTCTGCAGCAGACAAGCAGGAGAGCAAACAGTAAAGGTTAGGGAGCTGCACAGTGCCCGTCTGACCCTAAGTAACCTTGCTGCAGCTCAACTCACACTGCACTACTCAGCAGTGCACCAGTATCATTTGCCACTGCAATTTCCTGATGTCTGGGCACCAGCACGCATTCCTGTAATCTTTTTTTTTTGTTGCATTCCTCTACTTTGTTTAATTTTAGAATAGCTGGCTGTACGTTCGATCATTTGTGCTCCTGTACCTCTTAGTGGATCATAAAAACCGAACAGCTAACAATGAACAAATCAAACACATATTAGTTTTACTCTCTGGGCTTTGGAAGATATAAGGAAATATTTTAGACAAAAGCCAGGCTGATGCTACTCTCCAACAACTACTGCCTCAGTTGAAAAAGTGGGATTGTCACGATTGTAAATGTGTCCCATATACATTGAAATCAGTTTGTCTCTGCCAAAACTCAGCTACACTTACAACACTGATTGTTAAAGGAGATTTCACTTACTTCTTGTTTTCTTTGGATTTAATTACATTCCTAGTTTGTTTGATTTGACACTATTACTTTTTCTCCACAGTCTCTTTTTTTCTAGGCTCACATATTACAGTAATCTTATTCCTCCTGGCATTTCCTCTCTCCTTAATTCTTTTCACTAACAATGGTGGATTGGATTTAGTATTGAGGATGCATTTTTGATATCAAATACGTCTGTACAACAAAGGGAAAAAAACATCACCGAGTTAAAAAAACAAAAAACAAAGAGCAATGGAAAGAAGTAGTAGCTCCAAATATGTGAACAGCTGATAGGAGTTGTAAGATTAAGCTGCCTGCTTTGTCTGACTCCAGTGACCTGAAAACTTGGCCAAACCAATCGACTAAAGAGACAGCATTTGACAGTGCCTTAAGGTTGTAGTGAAACAAGGAGGAACCAAAGACTACTGTTGCATAATGAAAATCTGCAAACACTGAGAATTCTTACAGTCTACTCATTCTAATGTGTACGAACTTGGTAAACTAAAATGAATACGTACTTAGCCATGTACTCTACACTCACATTCCTCTTATTCAGGCTACACACTCTCATTAGGGCTACTGCTGGTTTCCACTCAGTTACACACTGAGCAACACACAAGTTGTGCGATCGTATCTTTTGATAACTCGCCGACAAAATGAGAAACTGTTGACAAATCTCAGAGAAAACCTTAGAAACAAACAGTGTCTCTGGCAATCCCAGAGTAAATAAAACATGCTTTCTGTATAAATATTATGCAGAGAGTGGAAAATGATTTTGTCAACCTTGTTATTCTTGTCTGGATATTAAAATGTACAAATTGTATGAATGTATAAAAGACACCACGATCAAGTACAACAGCTTGTGTACTATCCAAAGTTAACCAGTTTAATCCATTTCCAGAGTGGGACTGAGAATGAGTTTGTGAGACATTATTCAACCACACTGGAACATTTCAAAGATAGAAATAATGGCAAATGATAAAATATGAAAGAATAAACCAAAGCCATAATCAGTAAAAGGCAAAGCCACGCTGTGTTCGAGCTACAGAAGCTGCAGGCTATAAATAGACCCGGAAGTATGAGGTTAACCCTCCCCTTCACCTCCCCCTGCCGCTAAGAGGTTCCATGGTGTAATGGTTAGCACTCTGGACTCTGAATCCAGCGATCCGAGTTCAAATCTCGGTGGGACCTGCATTTTTGCACTATTTTTCTCCTCCTTTCTGGAAAAACCTCTCAGGGCTTCCTGGTGCTGACATGTTTGTGAGCCAACTGCAGAAAAAAACAGTGAAACCGCAGAGAGGCAGAACGGAAGAGAGTCTGCTGTGGAAAAAACAACTGTGGTGAAGAAGTGATTTGAGAGTAAAAGCAAACATGACTGTCAACTCTGACCCACTGTTTACAAAGTGGATCAAAGCTGATCCTAATTTCAAGTTTGTAAGAGAAACTGACTTTTTTGAGGGATGAGATCTGTCTTACTGATCCGTATTTGACATTTCACACCAATTCTACACATGAGTTATTCCACTCTATTGTAAAAAGATTTTATTCGGATTAATAAAATACATAACACTCTGCTGACATTACTGTCTCTTGTTGACACAGGAGGTTCTCTTCTTCCCAGAGAACCTCCTGTTGAGTACATTTATTCAGTCACACCTAAACTGAAGAGCTTTTAACTTTGCTCTCCATCTTTCCATTTCTGCTGCATACCTGCTGATCCCAATGTGTCAGCATCAACCTGTACCTGCAGTAAACCTATAGGACCACACACACATGATTTATTCATGTCTCTGAGACTGCAGGAAATTGGAGAGCCATTCCAGCTGACAGCACGTCACTCAACCCCCACGTGCCACGTCCCAGACGTATTTTAGATATTGTGGAAAATTGATAAGACTGAGCGGATGGTGTTCCCAGTGATAATTGGGGAAAACTGTGTTGTATTTTTTGATGTATGTCATGTGGCAATGTGATACTGAAATCGTCTTATTACTGATGTGCTGTGTATGAGTCACAGGGCTAAATATAAATGTGCCTCAGCACTGCAACGATTGAACAAAGCCTGTCCACCATTTATCCATTCGCCTGCCTCCCTTTTCCTTCTGCAATTAGATACATTTCGACCCCCTCCCAATGCATTGCATATTATCAGTGTATAAGAGATAATGTCTTACAAATGACGTGCTCGTCTCCCATTCTCCAGATATCCCTGGCTCCAGAGATGCATGTTTCTAATCTGCTGATACAGGCCTCATCGACCTGCCCAGTGTCTACTGTAATCTTGTTTGCTGTTTTTCACTGCTCAAATTCTTTCTTTCCACTCATGCCAACCGGTCGAGGCAGATGGCCGCCCTCCCTGAGCCTGGATCTGCTGCAGGTTTCTTCCTGTTAAAAGGGAGTTTTCCCTCTTCACTGTCTTCAAGTGCTTCTTCAGTGGGAATGAGTGGGTTTCTCTCTAGAATACTGTAACATTTAAAGCACCCTGAGACTACCATTTGTTTTTCTTACTTCTTTCAGTCGTATATAGAGGCTTGCATTGTTGATCCTTGGTCTCAAATGTAAAGCACTCTGGGTCAACTTGTGCTGTTTTAAATGTGTCGTATAAATAAAGGTGACTGACTAACATAATACATCACAGTCAGACATGCACAAACACACTGATGCACACACACAAACACGGAGCAGGCTCTATTTTAAGACACATGAGAATTTCCTGTGACCATCAATTGTGTTTTAAAACCTCTCCACATCAGTCCCATAGAGAAATACAGAAAAACACATCTGCATAGTAGCAGGCTTCCCACCTAGAATTGGTGGGAAAACATTGGTCACGTTTAAAACAGGTTCAAAAGAGAGCATTTTTTCACCAACTGTTTGATTACATGTTAACATTTAGATCACATTTCACCAGGATTTGCATTAGTCACCCACTAAGACTCCAGCAGGGAATGTGCCCACGACCCAGTTAATGCTAAACCCCATCCTAAGCTACCAAGCTACCCAGCTGTTGGGGAGTAGTGTTAGCTGTAACCCCTAAATACTTGTGCATATGTGTTACTGCAGTCTGCACAACTTCAAGTTTTCTCATCAGAATGTCCTGAAAGCTTCTACTGGCCAGGATGTAGCTTATACAGTCAAATATGTGTGACATTTTATATTATAAATGAAACACACAGAAATGATATCTGCATTTGAAATAAAAACTCCTTTATATGAATCAGTGCTGTCTGTTTTAAGCTGTAACTGAGCAAATTATCAAAATGATGAACAAACAAGTTTGTGTTTTGAGACACTCTGATGTCGTAATCTCGTTTTAGCTGGTGTAAAAGAGGGCAAAAAAAGGTCTCACCAACTATCACCCAGTTTACAGCTAAAAATCAATGCTGAAATCTCCGTTGATGCTCTCTGGGCAGCATCTGAATAAGCCCTGCAGTCAGAAAAACCCCACAGAGTTCACATGACCTACAATAATAGGTCCTAACTAACTTTTTAGTCGTATTTTGTTTGCAATTTTCTCCTAGTTGGTTGCGATGAGTAACGTGCATAATGTTTTCACGACTGAAATCGACATCAGTGTTTGTGTGTGTATGCACTTGTCAGTAGATCCTAGTGACTCAAAGTGGTGGGGAAATGCCAGAGAGGTCTTTGCAAAACTCTGTTTAGGTGACAAATTCCCATCAAAAAGGTCTTTGTTACCTTGATCTGCTGCCTGCGTAGCATTGCTAGTTCCCTCATGTCTCTGAAGGGCTGCAGAAGGTACTGGTATAGCTGTGTGGAGGCCTCCAGCAGACCTCCATAGGCCTGGTCTTCTTCCTCATATAGCTCCAGCAGCTCCACCATGCTGTCCATGGCCTTGTGCTTCTCCAGCAGCTGCATCACATAAACACAAGAAGTTACTTTTATTATTGTCCATACAAACATTTTTCAGAATATCGAAACAAGGTGAGACCTTGATAATAGGGATTTGCAATTGTCCATATCAAATGGAGTAGAGAAAGAAAAAAACAAAAACAAAAATAAAGCATGACTGAAAAAATCTATATTTATTCAATGGAAAAACTGCAGAGTTCATTCTGTGGCTGTGATACAATCTGATGATATCATGGCACATGTTTTCCAACTCTAATCATAAGTCTACAAAAGTGAGAAGAACTCACTTGAAGGCAAATCTTTTAGTGTCACATACCGCTAAGTAAAAACCTGCATGTCACTGTGAGAGTGTAAGGATGCTCTGTGTAACTGTAAATAATAGGAGTCTATCTGAGTGCAGTCTCTCAGTGCACAACTGAGTGAGCAGAGTCATTTCTGCTGCTGGGAATAGGATCAATAAACACACACATTTTTGCCAGACTGAACAATCCTGTAGGCTACCAGCAAACACTAAAATAGCCATTAACTTAGCCCTCAAATGGAGTGGGAGGATCAATAGGCCAGTGTGTGTGCATGTGTGTGTGTACGTGTGAAATCCGACAGCAACTGTTTTTGAATTAACTACAGAGCTCTATCGCTGCAGACGGAAGAGCTCAGACTGTGATAAAGAGATGATTAAGATCAGCAGCTCTTCCGACATGCTCGGGACGGATGCATCTTAAAGCAGCCGTTCTCAAACCTTTTACTTTAAACGTCTGCATCTGATTTTTATTCAAGGTCACAGGTCTGGAGCAATTGGTGATAGCAAAATAACACTTTTACATTTTAAGCAACATATATTTAAGTTCAATACAATCAAGATAGTGAAAATACATTTGAGCCTAGTTGGAGAAATGTCACTGTTTGCCTGCAGTCAGCTGCATCAGTGCGACCCCTGACCTCTGATGTGTGATTACACCACAAACGTCACATCCCTTGTGATTATGCAAGTGCAAATTATGGACAGTTAGTCCAGATTTATTTCTGATTCAGACATCTTCTTTCATTTACATGAGCTGTAGAAACAGTGTGCTAAAGAAAATGAGATAGATTCTATTTCTGCAGTTTAGAAGCTGATGGTAAATTCTCTGCAGCAACATCACACAACACACATTTTACATCATTATGACAACTATGTCCAGGATAGGGAAATAAGCCACATTAAAACTACATTTATCTGGACAGAGGGTCACTGTGAATAATTTCCTGCTACATTGTGTCGTCACTAACGATCTACTAATCAATAGAAAATGCATCTCACTTCACTGCTGTTTTCACAACATGAGGCATGGGCTGGGTCCTGCCGCTCAGTCCAGATGTGGAAGCAAACTGGAAATCCCAAACCGGCAAACATTTATTGAACCAATTGGAGCAAATTAGATCTGGCTGCCTGGCGCATATTCTGTGAGAGCGATGACTCTGCTGTTTGGTGTTTTTTGCTCAGGAAGGGCAGCAAGTCAACGCTTCCTGTGTCTGGTTTTCTGTCTTTTTTATTCTGAGTGTGTGTGATTCTGTGCGAATGGGAGTGGGTGTGGGACTGACTGGGTGGAATGACATGTGGGTTGTTCGTCTCTGTTACTCACGGCCGCTTTTCATTGCCAGAAGCAGAGCAGAGAGGAAACGCCTTGGCCATTGAATCATGTAAACACATCAGTATAAAAGCATTTTAACTTACTTTTGCAATGACAGCGAGCGTACACACAGATGGAAAATCCGACTGCGACCTTGCTGTCCTTACAGTACTGCTGTAGCAATAACAGTGTAATCTCGAGGCAAAAACATGCAACTGCACTTGTATCTGTTGTAGGTGTCTGCTGCCTCTTGGGCACAGTGTCAAAAATATCTGAAAGAACCCGAAATGTAAGCTACTCTTGTTCCTTTTTGTTCTGTTGCTAGTCTGTTCACTTTTGTCCCTGCTGCTGCTGCTGGAAAGACAGAAGTCACACTGAAGTGTAAAACAGTGAAAGTGAGTGATAAAAACTGTTGGATTGATGTCGGGCATCGTTGCTACTAGACCTGTAGCATCAGGATTCAAATGGAGTGCTTAAAGAACCCCTTAACTCTTCCAGCTCGAGGCGACTTTTCAACCAAGCAGCATTCAACGGACATGCAGCCTCACTGCAAAGGGGTTGGAGGATCGCATGTCTCTGTCGCCTCTGCATTGGATGAATTCCCATAATCCTTCACTCTGCGTACACAGAAAGCTACTCAAACTCACATCAACACAGAAACCAGAAATCCACCTTTAAAGCCAGCTTCTACTCTTTTGAAAATTGTTTATCTTAATATAAAAAATGGATGTAAACCGACCATTCAAACTGAAAATTTCTAGTAATTTTACTGTTTAGTTATTGGGGTTTTATTTCTTGAAGCAGTTATAAGTCACGGTACAGCATTCCTAGTGAATATGTGCGTATTGGATGAAATGATTGTCCTTTTCTTGGCCAATGCCACATGTATTTGAAAGATATTGCTTCCATAAATAAAGGTAACACTCAGAGCGGGTACCATCCACCGTCAAGGCAGCGAGTAATGCTGCAATGGAAATAATTGAAAACTCTTCCATTAAAGGTCCGTCTCGCCTGGACTCTCAGAGGACTTCTTGCACTCTCCGGCTCCACTAGTCAAGGATGCATTAATCTAACACCATTGATTAGTAGGACAACGTGAGAGCCAATGAGCATCAATAGGATGTCTGTTTATATTAAGAGCAGTTAATCAATCACTAGCTGCTGCTGATGTGTAAGACAAGGAGGCCTGGAGTGTGTGCTGTCTGGAGCACGTCTCAGAGTCTGCGTCAGGGATACGCCATTTAAATTTGGTGCAAGTGTTGGATTACATTATATACATGCAGAAGCATCTCATAGAAAATGTGTATTATAACTTCATAACATCTTTTCGAGTGATGTATAAAATAATCCTAAATAAACAGCTCTCATGTGATAAATAAAATTGCCAAAAGCAGTGTCTGCATCTGATGAAACTTGGTGTATTTCCAGGTCTATATTCTCCCAACAGGACAACATAACTATATGTAAAAGGAACAAAAGAGACATAGACATCTGATGTATAACATGAGATGCTACAGTTATGATGAAGATTTGGTGACTAGACTCTCAATAAGGGGACCAATTAAATGCTAACGGGAGGTAAAGTCATGGCAGCAGACACAGAAGATGACTTTGCACATTATTTCAACAAGCTGATTCTAAAAGGAAAGAAGTGCTTGAACCGTGTTTGTGTGCGCGCACTTGACTCGCTCAGCTGTGTAAGCAGCAGACAGCAGCCATGCTGAGGGTATGATATTCCACAGAGGACGAGCTTACAACTGCAACCCAGTTTTACAAAATCTTCCCTCAATGGCTGGCCAGTGGAACGGGTTGGTCCACCGTGTTTTCAAGAAACTTCTTTTGGAGGAATGAATGAAACATGGCTGTCATCAGTGCAAAGTTACCGGATGAATACGTGTTTGTGGCCTCTTTTTCTCACAGAATTCACTTCTTTAGATCATGCACGCAACCAGCTTGGGTTTTATGGTTTGATTTCCCTCACAGAGGTGCACACATTGATGTTAATCTGCACTGCGTTGAATAAAATCTCAGTGCTGATTGCTGACTAGGCAGCTGCTCGTTTTTTGCCATTGATGATACATTATGCATGAACAAGATGGGCCACACATCTACGCTCAGTTTACCAAAGATCTTGTGTGAAGACAAAAAAAAAATTCCCAGATAACAAAACATGCAATTAAAGTGATGCTTCCCATGTGCTTCTGTTGTGGTTGTGTGACTTCTAAAGGTCATCAGTGCAGTGTCACGGTTCAACCATGTTTGTTTACTTTATCTGTGTAAGTAAACTGCATTACTTTGTACTTAAATGGATTACCTCATGTTAAGTATATCTATTAAATATTCATATACCTCAGATTAATGGCTCGGGAATCACACTTAATCGCTGCCATTTAGGTACATGGCACAGCCTAAAGGAAGTCCATTTGATTCGGTCAGTACAGCTCTGTTGTGCTATTCCAGATGTGCAGACTATGCATAAAGTATATAAGATGTTGGTAAGTCAGCGAGGGACTGTGAAGGATCAGTAAATCTCTCACCTCTTGCAGATGTTTTGTCGCCCGGCTGAGCGCCTCCTCATACCCGGACTGCCTCAGCTCGCTCAGGCTCTCGTAGTACTCATCCGGGTCGTCGTTTTCCGTGAACAGAACCTGCGACAGGATCTTCCATCCGCAGGTGTCGAGCGCATGACCCAGGTACACCTGCAATCTGTAGCACAGCTCGTCCATCTCCGTCTCGGACACTTCCGCCGGGCCGAACAGCACCGTCCACATCCCGGCCGGTTCCTCGGGAAACACCGGCAGGCAGGGCTCCAGGACCGAGTTGACCGAGCAGAGCTGCTGGTGGATCGCCCGGAGGTCCTGGAAGGAGAAGAGTCCGGCCCAGCTGCAGTCCTCCCGGCTCAGGCTGTCCAGCTCCTCCAGGTCCAGGCAGTCCAGGGACGGAGACAGCTCCTCTCTGTCGGTGTCCGGGCTGACGGGGGACGCCGCGGGTTTAAGCACGGTTTGTATTTTGACGGGGCTCGGTTTCGGTGTTATCTTGGTTTTGGGGCTGCATCCTTTAGCCTCGGCGGTTGCTTTGCTAGGGCTCCTGGACACTTTATCCCTGACCGGACTTTCGGGCCATTTTGTTTTGTCCCCATCCAGACTGGTCGTCTCCAGCGGAGGGTCTCTACCGAAGCTTCTCCTCTGAACCGTCCTGTTGTGACACGTAATGGCAAATTTACCCTCCACCTCATTCCAGGCGACGATAAACACAAATTTATGCTTCTCCTTCTCCTCAAACGCATTGGGGCGAACAGCTACCCAGCCCGACTCCAAATTATCCTCCATTGTGAAGGACATTTCTGCAAAGTGATGAAAAACGAAAAGCAACTCGGCGCTGTGTGGATGCGGCAGGAAAAAAAAACGGTTACAGCGTTAATACAACCAAACGGGTTTCTCTCCCGGGATATTTCGCCTCAGGGACTCTCCTCCTTCGCTCAAGCGGATGGATTTGGAGCAGTGCGGTGTCATTTCCCATCTCTGGCCCACCTGCTTCCAGCTCGGATGTCTGGCTGCCCGTCCCAGCCTCCTGCAGCCGCTAGCTTCGTCATTAGCCCTCCGACCCACCGAGGCTCCGAACGGGCGGCCGAGTTGTGTTCAGCCGTTACTCTCGCTGTGTCGCCTCCAGACCTCCCGGCTGATCATGAAGTCGCAGCGGGCCACAGCGGCTCCGCGCATCCTCCAGACACCGCAGACTGATGCCACACGGCGGCGTGACGAAGGGCTTTGTCCCGTCGTGTTGTCAGAAAGGTTAGCATCGTCTCCAAACTCACAACATGACCATGTTTTCTTCTCCGTTCGCCCAACAAGACCTCAGACGCAAAATGATGCTGCCTTCACGGGCTGCCAGGAATGTCGGAATTCCATAAAAAACGACAAAAAAAAAAATCAAATACGAGGACGAGTCGGTAGCTTTTATTGTGAAAACATTAAACTGCATGCTTATCTGAAAAGAAAACACACTCCTTTCGAGCTTGTCCCTGCATTAGAAGTTGCTATGATTTAACTGTCACTAGCATTTTGCCATTTTGCCATTCTGAGCAACTACCAAATCTCAATTAACATGACACCTATCCTTTTACTGGTGTTATATATTTAAACTGATCCTAATGGAAGTAGGCTTCGGCCACAATCAAGCTGCATTCGAGCAAAATAAGGCAAAGAGTAGATCCAGAAGGTTCTGTTTTGAAAGTACTTGAAGGCAACACCTCAGCTTCAGCAGAACACGTAGGGACGTGCTGACGTTCAGGGTGGACCAGTGTGGGATGTTTTCTGCAAGTAGGTCTGTAGCTGCAGCATCAAGAACAAACCGTACCAGTGCAGCTTTGTTTTTTCCAAAATTGAAGTAAATAAATGATTATTTTTTAAAAACTGAAATATTAGTAAACAATTAAAGGTCCCATATTGTTCCCCCTTTCAGCACATCAGTGAAAGTCTCAAATGCTCCCAGAATGTGTCTTTTCAGTTTTTTTAAATTCACAATACTGCAAAGATGCTTGCAATGATAATTTCACCATGCCTGTATTCTCCCTGGTTTTAGCCCTCTTCTAAATGATTGCTTCAGTGTCTGTAGCTTTAAATGCAGAGTGGCTCCGCCTCTTTCAGGAAGAAGAGTCTCTCTGTGTCTGTGATTGACAGACATAACCCATAGTGGCCAATACAGCTGCAACTAAGTGTGTGAGACAAGGGCTGTGTCCAAAATCACTCCGTATACTCCACATAGTGCACTATATACAATGCACCGTGAAAAGTAGTGTACAGCCAATGATCACTAACCAAGCAATATGCAAACAAAACAAACAAGAACCCGAAAACTTGTCATTAAAATCTAAGTTTTTATGTTTTGTTAAATTTTGCCCATTCCTTAGCTATGCAATAAACTGTGAATGTGATGTGTTTGCATTACGCTGTTACGGCCCAAATCGCGGCGAGTGTCTGAAATGTTAGTTTGCTGAGGTGCTCCCTACATAGTTCACTACATAGTTCACTATATAGTGGTCCCTATAGTGAGTAGGGAGTAGGGAGTGAGTGGATGATTTCAGACACAGCCCAGGACTTCCCATCACTTGTTCATTTTTTTTTGTCTGAGTGATCATTTTACATGGGAGCTGTTGTTTTTAACTCATATGTGTGGTGAGTTTGTCAGGCATCTTTGTGGTTTTTAGCAATGCAGAGCAGCAGCTTGGAAATGACTCTGAAGTGACTGGTGGTTAACATGTAGTCTTAATGGGCTGTATCACTTTTTTCTGTTCATTCTGTTGTCTGACATCAGAAACAGAAAAATATATAAGTGAGAACAGCTTTACTAAGAATTCAGCTGTATTAAAATGCAGTATTTGTGAGCAGAGAGAAGCAAACAGATGTAATCAATGGCTGAGCTTAGTTTGCACTGAAGAGCAACCAGTTACATGAAAACACAGCAATCCACACAGTCCATGATAAGTGATTTCAGATCAGTCTTAAAAGTTTTCACCATCTCTGAACGTCCCTTAGCTTTACAGTTTCCACAGAGCTGTGGGCATCAACGCTAATGCTAACGTTAGAGACATTAGCTGCACAATGTGCTAACACATGGGATGCTCCTATTGTGGTGACATTGCCATCATGAGTCAAAGTAATCCACTGGATCTTCAGATCTTCAGATGCTGGGGGTGCATGTAGATTCTCGTGTCTACTCTTGCCAGCCAACAGCGGAGAATTTGGTTCGCTTTTCTTGTGGCTGAGACATTTTAGGGTTAGCAGAAGTAGCTCTAGAAAGTGAACAAACCTGGTATACTGTGAGAGGGCAGGATTATGCAAAGTTTGAGCTTGACAAGTAATGATTAATACTTGAAACATTGCAGCTGAATAAAATTCTTGGTGCTTGAGGACTGGCAGATGTAAACGTCTTTATATCTTAACAGCTTTTACTTTTCACTTCCAAGTTAATCGCAACCACAAAACAATACAAATGGATTTTCACCACATGGGAACTTTAAATTGGCACCACAGTTGCTGTAGTCTATTGCGTATAGGATGTAGTTTATAAATGACTGGTGTTGTGGTGTAGAATGTGACACTGTATAATCGCTGTGTTAATCTTCAGAGCTCATATGAAACTTACTCTATTCCCAGAAGGCCTTGACATCATGGAATATAAAATACACTTTTATGAGCCACCTGTCCATTCCCACTCATCGTTTTATAGGGAGGGCTGGAACCCGTCCCAGCCAACAGAAGGCAGGTGGTGTGGTGCACAGGTGGGGTTGCCACTTAACTTAACCTGCATGCGTTTGGACTGTGGGAGGATTTACCAACCATTGTAAAGGCGAGTGCATTATTGATGAGATGTAGTCCAAAAACAATCGATTCCAAAACCAATGAAGTTATCCTGAAAGAATGTGGTGTACGGATGTGGGAGAAAGTATCCACAGAAGAACGCTTCACGCCATCTGGTTGAGTTATGAGCTGCAGCAGCGAGCTGTTATTGAACAGTTCTTATTGTTTACACACATTTGCTGGAGTGTTTCAGAGGACAGGAATGGAAAGTAGCATTCACCTTTAATGGTCACAGCCTTGAGACAGATAAAAGTGAATCCCTCACCAGGGTGCATTACTGCTACTGATGCTAAAGGAATACTTAATGAGTTCCAATAGAGTTTGCCTTTGCTTTAATAAGCCTTGACCATGACCTATGGAGCAGTACGTTTGCATTGCTAGCCTGGCAAAGAATATGATGGAGCACACAGAGGGGTTTCAGGACAGGAGCCATGATGCAACATGTTTCAGTGACTAATTTCAAATCTGACACCAGCTGCAATGTAACCATTTGGTTAGTTTTGATGTGCATAGTTCCTAAAAACAAACAACGCTAACATACAGATAACATGCCTAAATCTAAAGTCCACAGTGCATTTACCAAAATCCTATGATAAGTGAGATTCCTCCATCTTAATCTGTAACTAATACATGTTTACATTTCCTGAACTGTAGGTGCAGCTTAGATAAAGCAGGAGGTCATATTTGTACACACTAGCTGCTGTTGTATACCACGATATGTGTGTGTTCAAAATGGAAAAACAAGCAGGCCTTTTGCTTTTTTGATAATAGTTGGCGTGTAACTCTAAGGATCAATATAAATCTTCAAATTTAGAAGAAGAAAAAAAATTCAATACTGTGCTTTGCTCATGTTGTTTCTAGCAGATTTTGAGAATGTATTTGCATCAGACCATTAGTTAAATTATGTCTTTTTTCATCTTACCTGTCATTGAACCAAGGTTTGGGATGCATCTCTAGAGAAGTTTTGGTTATCTCAAACCAGTGAAATTATTCCTTTTTGCTTTCTGCCCTTCTGCTGAGCTCATATCCACTACAGATCAGACAGGAAATCAACTCAAGACCAATAGATGGGTGGTAAATCCTCAACATTGCAGTCCAAGTTTAGTTTATCAAATTCACAGGTTCTGTCCTGAGACCCCAACTCTTTATCTCAAATGTTCAGAAGGACTGATACATTTCAGCTGCCATAAATCCATATTGTTAAAATTGCCAAAAACATATTTTATTTAAAATAAATCAATAAAATAGTAAATCAAATCACCTCATTTGATAAAATGACAAACATAACCATGTTGTGCATATAAAAATGCATTTCCAGGTTGTTTCCAGCATTTTCCACTTAGTTTATTCACAAACCTAAATAAATACAACTATGTCTACCAGGTACCACTGTTGTACTGTACAACAATCCCTTCTCCAGGTGACTTCACATAGTGTTACATTAACTCAGCTGGTATTGGCACTGGTCCCCGTACACACAAAAGAGAAGAAAAATTGCAAAACAGAGAGATACTTAGAATTTAGGGAACTAATTCTTATAAAATTTATTGGGTTTGCTAATGCAGCACAGAATTATTAAGCAATTAAAGCTTTTGAAAGCCAAATGAAAGACATTTCTTCAGGACAACACCTTCAATTCAAGTTTAAGCGACTGTCAACAAGTGGAACTTAATTCACATAATTACTTCTTTCTCCCATATGCATACATTCATGGCTGTCCTCAGGTTCCATGGTGTAATGGTTAGCACTCTGGACTTTGAATCCAGCGATCCGAGTTCAAATCTCGGTGGAACCTCGTGATTTTGAAATGTTAAGCTTAAAACCCCACAGCTGCACAGAACCGTGTGACATTAGGCTGTAGTAAGTGTGTTTAGTCAGTGTAGTAGCACAAAATGGTTCTGAAAGTTGAGTTGTAAACAGCACAACACCTGTGAAATCAAAACCTCCACAAAATGCTGAACTAAAGAAGTTAAAGGCTCATCACGTGTCCTCAGTAAGTTAAGAGAAGTTTTAATAAGTTCGCAAAAGCATGGCCTGAAGAATTACTTAATCCAGATACAATATAGTTGTTTAAAAATCATTCATTTTCATCAACAAGTAAATGCATTTATATCTAAATGTATTTATTTATCCACTTCTAAGTTCCCATGTGCATTTACTTTTTGCTTTTAAGCACTGTTCCAAGTCACAACAAGTCAATAGGAGTTTGCAGGAAGCATTTATAATCAGTGTGTTTCATAACTGATTCAAAGAGAAACATTTGGAGAAAAAAAAATCTTGTCTTTCTGTGTATTGCAGTTTTACATTTAAGGAACAATTTTGTGTGTGATAGTCTAAATGAGATTAATAATTCTACAAGTAAATGGTAAAAGGCAACAGAAAATCTGCATTAGAACTAAAACTCAGCCTGATTTGTTTGCAAGGTGGCATCCTCAGCTGGCAT